ACAAGCCCTCCCAGCATTACAAAGCGTCTCATGTTTGTGTGCTCAGTGCCTGTGGGCTCAGGTTTTAATTAAAGAGGAACTAGATACTATTTCCAACCTTCATTTGTGCCACGCTGGATGCCACACCAGGGACTCTTTCAGCAGCTCGGGTCTGCTAGAACAGATGTGCATCTCTGTCACCAGCGAGGCCACACTGCGGACACGTGTCCTCCTGCTCTGCCAGGGCAGGGCCCTGTGCCCCAGCTCACCTCCATGGGAAGGGATGTCTCCACTGTGACTGCGGTCTCAGCACTCTGCTCTCAGCTGCCCATCCCCACCCATCCTCTCCTGGCCTGCCAATGGTTGCAGCAGAGGGGCTGAAAGCAGGGCATGGGGCTGGGCTGCTGCTGGAGCACCACTTGCTCCACTGGTAGGCTGGGGGAACAAAAGGATTGGAACTCCTGAGCAGCCACAGGTCATTAGAGCATCCCAGCCCCTGTTCACTGTTGGGAGGGCCCTGGCTGAACCCTGGAGCAGGGGCGCTCCAGCTAATTAGTCATTAATTGCTTCAGAAGGGAAACGAGCCAACCCAACCTGTGTGCCTGTAGCAGAGTGACCTGTGGGCCCTGGGACACAGCCAGGCTGCACATCACTGAGAAAAGGCTGAGGGTCCATCTGTCACAGCAGAGCTGGAGAAGCAGCCCAGCACAGTGGGTGTCCATCTCCCAGCAGCCTATAGCCCCTTCCTGCCCCCATGGGACTCCTGGGAGCTCCCAGCCTCCGGCAGCAGCTTGGCAAGGCTCTGAGCTGTGCTGCAGTGAGAGGCAAGCCCGGCTCATTTAATCTATTCAATTGGATTCAATTTCCAGCCACATGATTCAATTAGCCCTGGGGGGGACAGCACAGAGAGCAGAAGCTGCAGAGCATGGTCCAGCCTGGGCTCCAGCAGCTGCCAAGCTGGGAGAGGGCAGCACAGGACCCTGTGCTTGTTCTGGCCCTCTGGGATGAGCCGAGATGTCAGGGACTCCAGGGGAGCCCCATTCTGTCCTGGAGAGCAGGAGCTCCTCTGGGAAGAAGCTGCTGGTCCTGAGTGATGTGTGGGCAGCTGTAGAGCACAGCTGGAAAGCCCCATCCTGAGCATCTCTCTTTACAGTCAGTCACAGCCCTGAGGGGTCACAGCCACACTGGGTCAGATCTGAGGTCTGCAGCCCTGAGCACCTGCCAGGGTGGCCCAAAGAAGCTTTAAAAAGACAACAGCACTCAGCAATGCTCCCTCGAGGGTGCTGCCTATCACATACATTTAGGACCACCCCTCTGCTTGATCAATGTCCCCCTGGGCACCACCACACTGTGCTGTATGTGGGGAGAACCAGGGCTCTGACCAGCACGAAGGACTCTCAGCAGCCCCAGGAGCCTCCAGGTCCCACCAGCCTTGCACCAGCTCTTCTCTAGACTGCTGGTCCAGACTTCCATTCATCATTTATTTTTCTGCCTGCCCTCCCCCTGAAAGCATCAGCAAAGGCATTAATAAGCTGCCACCAGGGGAAAAGCACATCTTATGCTGGCCCCTTTGGATTTCTACGCTTTCCAAAGCTGGGCTTTACCTCTTTCAGGTTACTGCAATGCCTCATCTGCCAAAAAAGCCATCGTACTTCTGTCCAGCATGACCCTGCTCATACCAACAAGCACGAAACAGGAAAACAGAGCCCCACAGAAGATGAGAATAAACACCCAAAAGGCCTCAGTGCTGACCACGAGCTGCTTTCCAGTGCCAAGAGCCAGCTGTAAATCTTACCACTGACTGCTGGGCACGCACTGTCCCAACATCCACAGTGCCTGCTGTGACCTGGCAGGGGGAACAGCTGCTCCCTCTGCCTGCCCTGCACTGGAATGGGAGCTAGGAAAGAGAGCAGCTCCACGCTGAGAAGGAAGTGTGGGGAAGCAGGTGGAGCACACTGCAGTTGGTCCCTTGTGCAGGTGCTGTCTAGGAAACATCTCTTTCCAGGACTTCTGCTGATGCCCACCATGCAACAGTGAGCAGGACCCCAGAGCAGGGAGTGTCCAGTTCTTCAAGTGGGAAGAGAAAAGCACCCCACAGCAGACACCAGGACATGCTCACATGGAAGGCAGCTCCATCCCACAGAGGAATGGACCCTGTGCCATGGATACAGGACCAGAGCAGGCAATAGCCATGACCAGGAAGAGGATGAGGAGGTTTGCAAAGCAAACACAGCAGGTGGGCAAAGGTGCACCCTGCCCTCTGGCTGCAGTACACGATCAGGGATTTGCTATTACCTGCTCCTAGCAGCTCCAAAGAACAGACAAAACACCATTGGAGCTGCTGGCCCATACAGGGAAGACTCAGCTCCTGAGGAGCTGCCTCTCTATCGAGTCTGCATGAAAAGTGGGACCTGTAAGAGCTCAGGAAAAAGAGATCAAAAATCAGTGGCACTTACAAAACAACTCTTAGCAACTCCCTCCAAAGTTTAGCTCAAATTCAATTCTCTTCCAGGTCATTATTTTGCAAAATATTTGTCTCCCTGCAGCTGATGCATAATTTAAAGGAAGCAATCTGACTTCTCCCCACACTCCCCAAGCCTCAGAAACAGCTCTTCCAATAACAGACAGAGTTATGAATTAGATATAACAAAATACACTCACCTGCTCAGATCAGATACGGGAAAGTTGGAGGCTGTCACACACATCCTGAAGCTGAACATTAAGATTTAAATTACTTTCTGCTCAGTTCAAGCTGGCCTCAAAACACAAATAGTAGTAGGGTGTTCAACAAAGCAGGCAAATGTTCAGCAGAATCTGTGAGCAGGAGTTTGCTGACACCAGCAACGAGAGAGCATCACACCATGCACAGGCAGGTCCCTGTATCCCTCACTCATGGCTTCCTTAGTGCCAGCCACAGGAACATGTAAGAGGAAGAGGAATGCTGACGACTGGATGGTACCTGCACAATGGACCAAGGACAAAGCATCACTGTGCAGAGCCACAGCCTCCCTCTGCACAGGCAGGAAGAGCCCAAGGGCAGGTGACAGCCCTGCTGCAGCCAGTGTGCCACCAAATGGTGACAGGGCCACTCCCACAACCACCCCCCTCTCCCTCCAGTGAAGGACAAACACTGCACACTGGACAGGCGGGGCTCTGCTATTTATTGAGCTCTAGGTTTGTATGTACATCCATTTACAGTGCTTGGTTCAGTGACAGTGTGACAAGAGGACATGTATCACAGTCTTCCCCAGCTCAGACTTGGATGAGGGCTGGGCTCAGGAACTGATCCTACACATGCCTGGGCTTCTATATCATCCCAGCAAGGGAGCATCCTCAGGGAGACAGGACAGCTGAGCCCAGAGTGAGAAGCTGAAAATTCCAGAGGCTGCCAAGTCAGAAGCAGACTCATCCCAAACTCTCTCACGTATGTGTCTAGGCTCAGCCTAAATGGGCTCAGAGAACAGGAGGCATGAGGACAGCTGGGTGACTCAATGCTCCGACAGTCACAATGCTGGGGCTGCACCTCAAGTCCCCTTTAGAAGGAACTCCCCCCTCAGAGGTGAGATCCCCCTCTATTCCCCCAGACAAGCAGCACATACTGCAAACAACTGTTCTCATTTTCCACTGGAGAAGCTGCCTCCTCTACATGCCCTGGCCTGTTCTCAGGCAGTGATTTTATGGAGGCTGCTTGCTCTCCTAAGCACTGTCCCTCTGACACATACACATTCCCATACACTTGTATGGCAGAAAGCAAATAAATGTCTGGCTTAGCTGTTAAAAGCCAGCCAATTCCCTGCTGAGGAATAGTATCATCTGCTGAGAGAAGCCAGTGCTCCCAAAGACAACACAGGGATGTCATCAGTGTTGTGCCCAGTGGGTGGCCAAGGACACAGCTTTCAGTTTCCCATGCTCATAGCAGGTAAGATGAAACATTAACACAATTAATGCACATTAGCATGAAAAAAGCCTTGCCTAAAAATGGTAGTAAATGAGCATGACATCCACATTACTCACACTAACCTACAAGGCTAAGAGCAGGACTAGGCACTTTTTAAAAAAAACATCTGTTTTCTAGGGGGAGGAAAAAAACCCTGTGGATCTGGGATGTAAATAACTTGTCTACTTCAGTCCACCAAGTCAAGCCAGATCCTAATATCAAAACATCACTACTGGGAACTGAAAATGCATGAGCAGGGAACAGGTGTGGAACGGGTGTCTGTGCTGTGTATTCCTGAGCTGGGAGCCTGACACAGCACTCCAAAAAGGCTCTGCCAGACCTGGGCACCTCTGAAGCACCGGCTCTGGGAGCAGAGAGGTCTGCCTGTGCCCCACAGCATCATCCCAGAGCTCCTCCTTAGGAAGCCCTCAGCAGACCACCGCTGTAAATCGCTTGGTGAAGACAGGAGGGTGAGAAAGTGAAGTCACTGCTTCTCCAGATGCATTTTAACTGTGTGCTACACACAAAGGAAAAACTGGAGACTTCTTCATTTATGAAGGTCACCAGGCACCTGCAAACATGTGCAAGGCAGATGTTCCTGTGAGGAAGAGGAGGATTGTCGCAAAGCAGTCTCTAACTAGCTTTAAGGTGAGTGGGGAGAAGGAGTCAGCCTGTCCTCTGCCCCATGAAAACCAAATATCTAAAAATGTCCCTCTACCTTAGAAACAGCGGATGAGCTGGGGGCTACTGGAAGCAACAGTGACCCCAAGCAGAGCTGGTCTCCAGTAACAAAGTGCTCTGTTTGATCACCCATATTCTTGTATACTGGCTCACACTGGATCCTGCAAGCCAACAGCCTTGGAGGCAGAGTTTCCCCTTTTCCAGTAATCTGATGTCTTGGTTGAAGTGACACCTTTTGACATCAGGAGACAGCAGTGAGCAAGGCCTGCTCCTTGGGGAAACTGTTTTATAATCCAAAGCCGTTCCCAATGGGATGGCAGTGGATTTGACTTACATGACAGGAGGACACGTTAACCCAGGCTGATGGAAAAGAACAGCCCTCACCTGGGACCAGAGAATGGAGCAGGTGAGCAATCTCTACCCAGAACAGTTTCACACAGCTGGGCTGGTTTTATTATTTCAGTTGTGAGCTCTCCCCAGCTCTGCTACAAAGGTTTCCAGTGCATTTTCCCTGAGGCTGTGGAGGGAATCTCCCATTGCCATGTCACAGGAATGGCTGCCCACTCCCGTGGCACCATAAAAAATTGCTTCCTCCTCAACATGCCAATCAGCTCTCCTCAGCCCAAGATCTGTTTAAACACATTCCTTTGGGATCAAACACACAGCAGCAAGGCGTTCCCCTAAAAGAAACACAGTCCCTTCCGCAGGCAGCGGCCGCAGACCGCAGTGTCCCTGCCCGCCCGGCCCGCTCCGCCCGCGCTGCGGCTGCGGCCCCGCTTCACGAGATCGTCGAGAACTCCTTCAGCAGCAGCTCCTGGCTCAGCGTGTTGAAAGCAAGGTTCTTCCTCACGTTGATGCTGATGGAGCGAACCTGACAGAAACAAAACGGGATGTTTTAGCCACGGGACTCCTCATGAGCCTGGTAGTTTTGACACTGCTGACTCCACGCTCCGCATGAAGCTGTTTTGCATTTACAGCTCCACAGCAATTGCTGCAGCAAGCTCTCACTGAGACTCCAGCCTAGCAAGGAAATGCTGAGGTTCAGCTGTTTCTTGGAAAAACAGGAATGTCTACAGTGACATCCCAGCAAGGAGAGTAAACTCCCAATGAGACAGGGATGGGGGAAGATGCTCTGTGTTTCCTGTTCTGGGGCAAAGAGATGGGGGAAGTGAGCAGTCCCAGGCTGCAGCTTAAAGATCATATTTCATCAATGCCCACCAGAGTGCCAGTGAGCATTTCCCACATTAATGCAGTGTCGTGGCCTCTGTCCTGCTCCAGAACCCACAGAGCCAAAGATACAGACCAAAGGAGAGGACAGAGGCCACACCACTGCGCTGTAAACACAAATTATCAGCCAGGCTGGCAGAAACCCCTGGGTTCAGAGGCAGCTGTGTGTATTCCCAGTGCTGTACATGTGCAGCTGCCTCACTGGCTGTCTCTGAAGAAGAGACACCTTTATCCCTCAATGACACCCAGACTTCTGGTCACCCACAGAGCACAAAGAAGAGCTGGGAAGCCCTGTTGGCAGCAGCTTCCCTTCCCCCCTCGTGCCTGCAGACTCGTTAGCCAAATACGCAGGCCCCAGACTGGGCTCAGTCTCAGCTGCACTTGGCAACGAGAAAACAAAGTCAAACATCATCTGTGTCAGCGACTGTGCAGCAGTGACAGAAAGCAAAACTGACACAAGCTCATCCAAACAACAGGATTACCGATCCCAGAGACTCGGAGCCTGTGATAATAAGGTTGTTGCTGACCTGGTTAGTGTTTTGTACTTTATAAAAGCACTGGAGGAAGAATTATATAGATGCATAATGAGGAATCCAATACCAGGGGCTGGAAGAGCATATATATACACACTGCCAAGGGTCCCACTTGCTACCCTGGTGAGGAAAGCACACTCAAAGGGCAGAAAGCTACCCAAAAGGCAGAATGTGTAAGAAAGGGAAGGAAATCAAAACTTGGAAGGTTAACAGGGAAAGCTGTGAAATGAACCCCAGTGAGCCCCATTGCATAAACCCTAACAACCCAAGCATGCCAGCAAAGATGTCTACCCTAAAAGACAAAGTACTTAAGTTTTATGTCATCTGCAGAAACCACAAACTCTCAGGATGCTTGGCAGAGACCCCAAGCATCTTTGTTCCCTTGGAGCACCCCCCCAGCTCTCTACTTTAGTAGTATTTTTACTTACTCCATCCTCAAATAGTTTTAGTTTTTAGTAGCACGGTTGTACCCTGTGTTAAACACCGCTGCAAGTGGTCTCCAGAACACTGGTTGGCATGGGTCTGTCCTGCTGCCAGGAGACAGGAGTCCCACTGACAGGATTTGGTCCCAGTCCTACCAAGTGCTCCAATGCCAGTGATCCAGCCAGTTCTCACAAGAAGGAAGGAAGACCAGTAATGAGCTGTGGGGAGTTCTCTGCTCTGGGGAATATGATTGCCTGAAGAAAAGGGGCAGATGCTACAAGCAGTGTAAGCCAGTATCCTTATTCTGACTAAAAGCATTTCTGTGGGTCCCAGCAACAACACAAAGTACAAGCAGTAATGAGCTCCTGGCCTCAGGAACTGCTGCCAGGACTCAGGCACCAGCAGTAGAAGATTCCCAGCTTGTATACACATCAAGGTCTCCAAGAAAGAGTCACTGCAAGCCCAGAAAGTGAGGCTGGAGTGGCACAATGAGAACACAGGGCTTAGCAGAAATCGTAGCTATGGGGTAGAGCACAAGAAATTAATTAGCCTGATTAGTTTGCAAAGAGAAGGAGGAATAGAGCAAACACACTCCATTATGTAAAATGAGGTCAGAAAGAGAACAGTGAGTAATATTTATCTGTCTCTCCAGGGACGGGGCAAGAAATACACAGCCTAATTTAGACAAAGAAGATTTACACAGGAAAAGAGGAAATACTTTTAAAACCTGTGTGAAGTGGAGGAGCTCACCTGAAGCTACTGTGGAGCTAGTTTCATTTAAAGACAGCTTCAGGTTTGAAGAGAAGCTTTAGACACAAACTTTGGCCAAGAGCAGTCTAGATGAACGTAGATCTGCCTTAACACAAACCGGGGAGAAGAGTGGCCATGATAACACACAAGAGTGATATTTACCACAAATCTCTGCCCAGAATTTCTTCTGCTGTGAGAAATCAGGCAGCCTGAGCCAACCTGTTTAAAAGGTAAGAATAGCTCAAATTGAAGTTAAATGAAGTTATCTCCAGCACCAAGGCTCAGCACAGGGAGCCAGAGCTCATCCCCCTTTTGGAGTTGGAAAGTTGGAAGACCAGACAGTTACACAGGGAGGTGTCAGTCTGTAACAAGGACAAATTTCAGAAGCTTCCTGTAGTCTACCTAAGCTGCTCCATAAGGATACACCCCAGGATGCCTCCTAGCTTTTGGTCCAGTGGGCAGCCCAGGCCTGGCTGCCAGCCTGGAATTTACCAGATCGCTCCAGACTTGCACAAAGGCTCCAAAGCTGCAGAAATTAAGGTCAGAGCTTTAACATTAATTCTGCTTGGAGTACATGCAGAACACATGTCCTCTCTTGCTTCTGTATGGAGTACCCTGGAGAATTAGGGACAGAAGAGCTCTAAATTGTTTTCTTACTATTAGTCCAAAAACATTGAAAAAATGGAAAATGCACAAAATACTGACATCACTTGTGGAAGAATGAGTAAATGAAAGAATGGATGAAGAAAGGGCATTAACCATGGGGGGAAAACATGATTAAATTTTAGTTTTGTGTCATTAGAGCTGGAAGTGTGCAAGGTTGTACCAACACTCCTATTTCACAGCAAGCTCATCAACTAAACCAATTCCTAATCAACAAGCAGCCCTTAAATTATTTGTACAATGGGAAGAACATTTACACTGACTACTACACTTAATTAAGAGTCAAATTAAGATAATTTCCCCAGCAGAAATCAACCCCTAATCAGACTATGTTGAGACTGATGAAACCTATCTAAATGCAAAGACAGTGAATGTTTTGGAAAGATGCTGAAATCTCTTTCCACACACTCCTCCAGCTGCAATGTGAGGGTCCAAACGCTCACATCCAAACCATTCATTCTATCAAAGCAGCACAGACCTCAAATGACATCCCTGAGGCTTCAAAGGAAAAGAAATAAAAAGTGTTAGAAAACTTCCTAACTTCATTTCTTCAGCCCCTCAAAGGCAGCACAACATGCCAAAAAACCCAGCTGATAAAACAATCTGCACATCACCTTCCACCACAATGTGGCCACAGTATTGCACCTTTGAAAACCTTACTGAAAAGGGAATGGGAGAAGAAAGCAGATTTTTCTTTGGGATTAGCAAGAAAGAGCAGCACTGAGGCAAAGCAAGAGAAGTGAAGCAGTGAATTAGCAAAGCAGGTCAAAGGAGAGAGAACAAGATTTCTAAGCATAAAGGAGCCCCAGAATGGCTTGGGGAAGCTTCTGTTCACCTACTTAATGGGAGCAAAGAGAGATAAAAAGGCAGCTGAAAAGCAAAATGTCTCCTCTGTGTCATTCCCCACCCAAGAAGGGTTTGCTTTGATGCAAACATTTGCAGACAGTGATAAGAAAACCTGGCAGAATCTGGAAAGAATTATTTGCACGCAGATCCTGTCCAGGAAGACCTGATGGGATCAATGTGAATTCAGAAACTTGTAGTTCACCACCAGCCCTGATCCTCTGGTACAGCCCACAAAGAGATTTGCACCAACTTCCCTCTCCATGAAATCCTGCAAACCTCAGAGGTTAAACCCAAAGTTTATTTGGGTTTTTTTGGTTAAACCAAACTGGGCAGAGGGGTATTATCCAGCATCAGACCAGCAACAGAAGCTGGTAAGTAAAGTAAAGACTCAAAAGCTTCACAATAAGAAAGCAAGTACCTGGTTTGAAGGGGCTGTGGGAAGGACAGGGCAGATTAGGGCCTTTTTGGTGAGTTGTTTGAACAATTAATAAAGCCATCAGTTACTGTGCACCTAGAGAAAAACAGAGCAAGGAGGCTGGGAGGCCAACTGGATTTGCTGAAGACAAATCACAACGTATCAGGTTCATTTCCCGCTGTGTTGAGGGAACAGCTTAATGGAATGCAGGGGATTTTCTGTAGCTGTGAGTAAAGAACATTTAATAGGGTCCCAATTCGCAGGGCATCTAGAGATGTGGATTAAACTGATTCACAACTGGGTCAAATCAGCACATTTATACAGTAATTATTCAGGCTTTTATATGCTCTTGAGGAGAGGGTCCCAGGGGTACCTGGATGGGCAATTTTCACAAGTGAGTTGACGGGCTGGTTATGATAAACAGATTCTTAAATGGTACAAAATTGGGATTTTGAAAAAAATAGGAAATTGGTCTAGGAAGAAAATTATTTTACTGAAGTGTTTCATGGCTGTGATGATCATAGGACTGAGAGTATAATTTTAAATCAATTGGCATGATCAGCCTGAGCTTCTGCCAGGCCAAGTGGAAAGTGGGACATGCAGGAAGCAGAGCAGTTATGTGGCCAAGGGGAAGGAGATGCTGGCTGAGGGTGGGAGCCCTTGGGACAGAACAAACGACAACAGAAACAGGAATGTGTCTTATTTCCAGGGTACAGTAACAGAAGAAGTCTGTGTCACAGGGAGGCTATGGCCAGATTTCTTTGCTGTGTTCCAGGAAAGCTGTGTCAAACAGCAGACCAGAGAGACAAAAAAAGGCAGAAAAAAACACAGAAAAATAGCATAGAAGCAATTGCAAGTGGTTTTGCCCTTGTAATACACAATGTCAGGGCTGGAATGACCCCAAGGGAGTTAAAAGCATGCTGTAAAAGGAAACAAAACCATTTCAGGTGCCTGTTCTGGAGCAGAGCTGACAGAAGGGTGCACAACAACATGCCCAAACTCATGGAGACTCGTGACAGAGTAGGCAGGCATCAATTACTCATCAATCAGCAGGGACAGAGCTGGGAGAAAGAATCAGTTCTCAGACTGGTGGAGAAGGCTGCCAAAGTTAGAGATCCCTCCCTTTTGGTGAAGCTGTAATGATTCAAGAGTGAGGCTTCCCTCACACACCAGTCACTACAAAAACACTGCCTCCATGCTCATGTGGCTGTTGGACAAGAAAAGTTCCCTCAGGGCTCTCTGGAGAAGGGTAAGCAAGCTGACTTGCTGAAGAATTATAACTACCAACCTGAATTATTTAGACTCATTTTTGTCTTTGCTCTGCAATTTTTGTGGGTCTTCCTACCATCAGTCTTTTCCTCTTGCAGATGGAGACATTTCTAGGGAATGCCTTCACTTTCCTTGCTTGGGAACCCTTTTTTGTGAGTGATGGAGAAAAGCAGTGAGCAGGAAGGCATTTCACCAGACCCAAACATCATGGTCCCCTTAACAACAGCAAAAAAGCAAAGTTGCTCTGCGTGATTAACCCCAGGTGGGAGCAGTCAGATCAGTCATACAGATTCTTCCCATACAGATTTACCACTACAAAGCAGAGCAAATCCCATGGCAAAAGGGACAGAGACCATCTGACCAGTGCTGGCCTAAGCAGCCTGGAGGTTCCTCTTCAGCCACACAGGGAGCTCCAGGAAGCTCTCAGACCTGTTAAGACAAGCAGTGTCTGTCCAGATCCTGCTCCTGCCCTGTCTTTGGGGGCAGTCCAGTGGAGTAATGGGACTGCTCAGCTCCACCCCAAATACCACTGCCCAGGCCATAAGCAAAGGCTCTGGAGAGGGCTGCTGATTGCTCAGAGCCGAGGCAGCTCACCAGCTCTTTGAAGAAGGCAGCCTCCTTGTGCTGCTCCGAGTAGCGCTCGTACTGGTCCAGCCCGTCCTGCAGCTTCAGCGTCAGCGTGTCGTAGTTGGACCGTACCACCTCCAAAACCTGCCAGAAACAGCCAAACACAGCACAGCAATCAGTACCCACAGACTCCTCAGCACAGGAGGAGCAGGGCTGAGACAGATCACAGCTCTGGCGCCTGTTTTCATGACAGAGGTGGCTTTAACAGCCAATATTTGGTTCATGATTAACAACACTGAGGCGGGCACTAAAGGCCTCCTAATGCCAAGGAACAGTCCTGACATTTACAGAATTTCTCCACTCATGAGAATGGTAGATGAAACCTATATCCATGGCAGCAGCAGCTTTCTGTCATCAGAATTAGACATATTAATAAACCAAGAACCTAATTGCCACATGTACACCCAGATACAACACAGAAGCACAATACAAACACAGATTTGCCCAGCCCCACAGTCTTTCCAAGGTTAGTTTTGTCACCACACTTCCCTCCTGGCTCATGAATCACCATTCACAGCCTGCTAAATCACCAGCTTCTACAGCTGCTCAGTCAGCTTCCATACAGAGCACTGCATGTCTCTCCTGACAGGAACAAGCTTTTGACAAGCACTAAGAGAAGACCAGCCTTGGTGTGGACTGTGCTTTTAGAAAGACATGAAGACATGAATCCAGGTCTTTCTGCCTGGGAGATACTTTACTGTTGGCCTTCATTGCAACCAAAGCAATTCCAGCTTTTATTACTGCCCTACTCTGCTCCCAGCGTTGGGCTATACTTGCAAACTCATAGTTACACATCTCTGTTCTACTGAACTATTCATTTTCCTAACTAGGGAACACCAAGAGGGACTCCCACAATGATTTTTAGCTTTAAAGCATTGCATGGACTAACATATTACTCAAAGCACTTGTGAGATGGTTGGTGACAACAATCTTCCTACAAGGAACCATAGAGGTCAACACTCCTAGGCAAACATATGCCTGAAATGATTCTCCTAAACACAATAACTTCATTCTTAGGCCGTTGCCATTTACTCTGAGAGCTAAACAGAATATGAACATGTGAGATTTGCACTACAGTAACCCCAGCTCATGACAAGCTTCAGTCAAGAAGACACATGGTAAAAGGTGCAAAGGCAGAGGACCCTGCTCCAAGGCATCACAATTCAGAAAAGATCCTAAGAAGAGCATTGCAGAGGATTGAAGACAACAGTGACCAGAACAACAAGGAGCCCTTGCACTTCTCCTCTTGTACTCCCAGCAGTGTAAGCACTCCTGCCAGCTGCCCCTTTAGGCAGCTCCTGCTCTTTACAGGACTGAATCTTGTCCTTACATCTTTTATTCTAAGAAATCAGAAGTTGCTTAGGGTTCCTTCTAAAGCTTATTTCCCCCAAACTCTGCATTTGGCAGTGGTGCACACAGACAGTCATGCTAGGGCCTGAGATGGCAGAAGCTACAGGGAATCACCCAAATGAGGACTGGGGGAAAAAAGGGGTCCCAGAAGTGGTTCCCAGGTGAGATGGTCACTCAGCAGTCTCTACAGCTCAACTGTCCTCCAGCACTGCAGACACAAGCTAGGGATAGGAATAAGGATTTGGACTTGAAGGTCTCAGAGCCCTTTTCCAACTGCGTTGATTCTGATTCTGCAATGCTATTTAAAACAGCTTGCCAGTGTTGCAAAGGCTCACAGCCTCCTCTCCAGTACTCATTTCCTAATGCTGTTTTGTTTGTCAGCTCCACTGGCAGAAAGAATCCCCTGCAATGACATCCATCTCCAAATTCAGCCTGCCCTTCTTGCTCCTGTGTGCAGAAGCTACAAGAAGTATTGCAGAGCCAAGAGCAATGATGAAAGAAAGCCACATGGGCACAGGAATAACTATCCACTAGGGACACAGTGTAATAGCATAATGCACCTTCTGCTGAGCACTAAAGGATCTGGCAGCTTGCTCCTGTCAATCAGAGGAAGCCAAATTGACCAAGATTAGTAAGCTGCAGAGAAAGAACCTGGTTTGCAAGGTGAGGAGTTGAACAGGTTTCTGCAGCAGTAATTCAAGAGCAAAGGCATTTTATTCAGGGCTACCTGACTCCTTAGGAACCTTCCCTTTAGTCTCCCTGTATTCCCATACACACAGGTGTGCACAGTGCCACACAGTTGTGATCACTCAGTGGATGCATGCATTTCTTTAGGAACAATCAGGATTCCTCCTTGCTAGCTCTGAGTAGAGATCCCTCCGGATACTCAAGAGAGGCATCCTCAAACCATGGTGAAGAGAAGTGAACTCTGAGAGCAATAGTGAGCTCTGTAACCAGAATCCTTTAAATCTGTCTGCTTGGTTCACCTTTGAAAGGCAGCTAAGAACTCGGTTTGATACTTTAGGATGAGGACAGGGAAGGAAAGAGGCCCCAAAGTCTCTACTCTGTTACTTATTGTAATCTCTGCAGTGAGCTTGAGGTCAGCTTATCCCTTCAGCTATGTATTTCATTGGCTTCCACTCCTTATCTCCTTTAATTATGAAACAGAACTTAAAAAGAAAGGGTAAGTTAAAAATAAACAGCTTCTCCCCACTGCCTGATAATTTCCCTTTATTGCTGCTACTGAGAAAAAAATGCTACGTGGGATCTGAGATAAACCCACTCACAGATCATTTCAACTTCATACCTTGTAATGGATAGAAACTATTACTGAGATTAGGACCTGCCATCCTTGAGATGATTTCATCTGCTCTTTAAGATGCAGCTGCTAGACAGAGGACAGGTCAAAGAGCAGCACAAGGTATTAAGAATACCTAAGAGGAAGGTTTAAAAGGCATCAACTTCCTACACAGATGACAAAAAAATTCACATCCTTTGTGTAATAGAAGACTGTATGTTAGCATCCTTTGCCCTTCTTACACATTGCTTTGACTTTTGCTCAGGAAAACTACTGCAGGAAGAACAGCCTTTTTCCTTAAACACACAAGATCTTTATCTACACCTTTCTGTCAGATACAATGGAACTAGAGCAATTTAATTTTGGGATTAAAGCATTTCTCCTTCAAAGTCTTGTTCAACCCATTCTTCTTGGAAGCCTCGTGTCTAGAAAACATGAATTCCATGATGGTCAAGTATGAGAAGGGAACGGATTTTTAGCTGCTCTTCCAAAGAGATTTTAAATAGTCGTTCAGATTTTTATAATCTCATGTGAAGCTGGAAAAACACCAGTTTTAGTGTCAGGCAAGGACAGATGAAATCAGACTGTAGATATCTTCAAGGAGCTTGATGTGATGCCCCTAAGACTGCAAGGATAAACATGCAGGGGAAGGTTTATTATTTTTTTTAATGGCTTACTGGATCTTTACAGTGAAAAAAAACCCCAACAAACAAACCCTAATGGAGTCACAATCTAAAAGTCTTTTTGCAGGTTACCTTAGGGGGATCAGAGTCTTAAAAAAGCAGTATGACGGAAGCAAGCAACTCAGGGTCAATACAAGAGGAGGGAAGGCTGCTGAATTCCCTTCCTGCAGTTACCTGTATCAGCCCCAGAGGCTACATTCGCTCATTTTTTCCACTGCAACAAACCAGAACTCACTGGAGCTGCACCACTGTAATTTAAAGATAATCTGCCATCAAATTAACCCCCTGTCACCCCTCACTCACTGATTTCTAGAAGTTCCAGAGAAATGCTGGAGATTCAGGTCCCTGCACGTGTCCCCAGACCAACTTCTCAGAAGCTGCTCTGAACAGCAAGTGCTTTCTCTGGCATTCAGATTTCAGCTTCCTCCTGCAGCTACAACTGCCCATGCCCCATAAATCCTTCCCCAGTCACTCAGTCCAACAGCTTGTGAGTAGAGGCATCCCCTTAGGAACATGGCAGGAGGGAACACAGCTTCCAAAGGAGGGACTGATGTGGGGCTCAGCTCTCTGCAGCATCCCACCCATGCCATGCCAGGTTACTGCACCCAGAGAACAAGATTATTTCCCAGTTTGTGGCTCTTTACTTTGCTCCATCCACCAGCTCACCGCTACCTTGCAAACTGGACGGACAATCTTGGTTGGTTGGGTCAGTGGCCTCCTGTCACACAAGCTCTGAAACCATTTACCCCAGAAGCAGTAGCTCCTGCCCTGAAATTTTCAGCATTCAAATCACACAACATCATTTTGCTGTACTAGTCCTACACACTGATTTTTTCCTTACTGCACCAGAGCTGTTCCCTCTGACTGATCCTCAACAAGAGGCAACGTACTGCACTCCCCCAGGAGAGACCTGGAAGATCCTGTCCTGGGGAAACACAGGGATCACAGCAGTCTCCTACCCCCACTGTGCCCAGGAGAACACTGCTACTGTTAGCAGCAATGCCAGAGGGAGCTGCACCAGCAGTAAAACCTAATGGGCAACATGCAGCTCTAAGACCCATCTATCTAGCAGATATCGTTTGCTTCATTGCTTAGTAACTTTTTAACCTGCAGAATCTTTCATCATCTGCATCTGCAGTCTCTGCCTTACTGGAACATAAAATTAGAGAGCACCAGCAATTCACAGCACCTAGCAAAGGACCTGGTGGTGGGTAGGTCCCAGGAAACATGCACAGGTAATGGCAGAAAAATAAAAGGAAAACCAGAAGAACAAATCAAGGTCTCTACACTGTCTTTTCAATTAGCACAGGAAAGCACAAGAATGCAATCAGTCAGCATCACCAGTACCTCACTAAAGCTTCTCCATGCCCGTAAGACAGTCATTAACTACCATGACACAGGAGAAGTTGGAACAGCACTGACTGAATGATCTCACATCAAGCAAAAGGCAAAACACCCCCATCAATGCTCAGGTTAAAATGCACTTGCCCCCTCACCAAGCCCCTGCTGCTCAGGGATGGGGGAGGGTCTCCAGGTCAGGACTAGCAAGGCCCCACGGGACAGAAAAGCCAGAGGCTCTGTCCCATCTGTTCCATGCCAGAGGATGGAGCAGCCAGTCAATGGGGCATGTAATGCCAACCTCTCATCAGCACTACTGCACAAGAGGGCAGAAGGACCAAGGGCAGCCAAACACGACTTCTGTCTACCCTGCAGAGGTGGTGGAGTGCTTGTCACTGCCTGTGTACCACACCCAG